TGTCTCGACTTCTCCTGTCCAGACTTCGGCGAACTGGGAGTATCCCAGCCTTCGTGGTTCCCTCCGGTAGCAGAACAGCCGGGCACCAAATAATTTCGCAGCTGAACGACCCTTCAAACCGAAGAAGAGGTTCGGTTCCAAAAACAAAGGATTCAGTTCCAGACAGTTGACGAAACAATGACAATGCCTTGTGATTCAAGCATGCGTTTGCCAACTGGTTGGTCCCGTGAACACAGGTCGGAATACGCATGACTTACTTGCTGCAGACTAGAACTATTGGCCTGAAGAGTTGATGAAGAAACACTGTGGGCGCAGTCCACGCCACTCCGTCAAACTCATATCCTAACTGAACTCAAATTGTAGAAGAATTTGCGGGATGCATTTATCTGCACACCAATTTAGCTTTTAGAGGTGGCTTAACTGAATCCTATCTAAACACTATAAAAACGAGATTCAACTGATTCCCAGGTGAGTCTCCCGTCAAGACCAAATTGATACGCAGGTGAGTGTATTTCTCGAATGTTGTGCCATTTTGGTTCATTTAAAACGTAAGGCTTACGGAAACTCGGGTAGTGCGCCCAACAGATGAGCTCAAATTGGAAGGGTGAAACCAGCCAATTGCCGCTGAAGATGTTTGAAATTTTCGACTTCTGTTGCTACATCACAAGGAAGATGCTAGACAACATAGGAAAACCGGGTGACTTGGGAAGTGATGCGTCGGGTAGAAAAAACGGTCTCCACCTGGTGAAACCATACCCTGGGGTTGCGTGGATTGTAATCTGGCAAACGTATGCTAGTGGCATTCTCGACTAAATCCGCTGAATCAAAGTGTGCCTCCATAATTACCGGGCAAAAGAAACAAAATCACGGCCACTTGGAAGGAAAAGCTTCCAAAAAATATCGAGAAATACTCGGGCTCGCCAAATTTGTAGTGGTCTGGCTACCCAATAAGTAAGTTTACCAGGTGTGTGTCAAAGAAATAAAAGCAATAACGCCAAGCTGGGTATACAATAATAAAGAGGTCAGAGGGAACAGACTCACTAACAATTGTTCTCTTTAAAATAGTTCGTCGTTGGTCCAGGTCAGCAAATAAACAATAATCCAATTATGCTTGTCCAGGGGACTTCTCCTGAACAGTTCTGGGAGAATTGGGTTTCGTCCGTATATCGGTATAATCAGATGAACTAGAAATCCAGAATTCAGCGAAGCGTAACAACCAGCACGTATGTATTCGAATTGGCGAATATATATGGCATATGGAATATTAAAACAAGAGAATAATGAATAGAGCAACGAATAGAGTATCAGTCATGTTCATCACAAGTTCCCACATAAAATAGATTCCGAAGATAGTCTGAAATGTTTTGATAACAGAGTTAGCACACGAGACTCGCGAATGAACGCTGAAAGCGCGAGCGAAATCAGAAGAGAGAGTCGAACCACGTGACCACGCGTGTATTATGAGAAATTGTACAAGTTCGCGTTTTTGTAGTTTTTTTGTATTTAAACAAAAAACGATTATGCAATTGGTGAAATACGTAGGGTTATAATGGAAGCAAAATAAAGTTACATATCACCACACACTCATGGTTACTCAAGGTAATCACTGAAAGCCGAATGCTCGCACTTAGGCTATCAACCATTGGCGTGAGTGTGACTGCAGGTTGCACGAGGTAGGGATTTTATCAGTAATAGCGTTTTGTTGTACCCTTGCCATGCCAAATAAAGCGCACTTTCGGGACAGACCAAAGACACCCTGCTATGGGTTTTACGTGATCGTTCCAATTGGAGCTGATTGCCAATGGGTGACAAGCACTAACAAGTCTGTTTCACCAGAATGATGATGAATATAATAGTTAGGTGCACTTTGCTAAAGTGGAATAAGCCGACATTTGACTTATCGTTTGGGGACAACTGTTGAGAGTTCCGGAAGTGAAGTTCCGGACGCGGAACGTGTCTTCTCTGCCGTATAACTGCTACACGTGTTCCGTGGTTAGCCGTGGAGACTCATAGAGCTCGGTTGACCTTTTGTCTTGTGCGCACGGGTGTGTCGTTGGACCGATTTGTAGACCTGCTTATTGTGTGCAGTGTGAAGAGAGAGGGGCTCTTCGTGATTGGTACTTGCACGAACAGGAATGCAACTCGGCCTAGTGTGTTGAACTTCGTTAGCCTGGCGCCTGATACAAGTGGTAGCCACGTGAACAAAAATAGATGGGACGTTGTAATGTACATGTTGTCGACTCGGGTTGCACGTGGGACAGGAATTATCACGTGGTTTGAGTGCTTGTGATGCGTGATCTAGTAAGTGACCTTTGTATTCGGTCAAAACTACAAGAATGGTCCGTCTTGTCTAGTAGCATGACTGTTTAATTACGGGTATACAAGATAAAACTTATCCCAAGAGTGCTCGGGTCTTCATTTCATCAGGTGTCTGTCTGCTAGAAGCTGGTCAACCTCATATAAAATCGCTATTACAAGGGTTATCCAACAGGATTACTAACTCGGATGATCCTGTTGATGAGATGGCACTTTCCATTTTTCAAAAGTAAGCATCATGTTGACATGAAATAAACTACCTGATAAATAGAGGAAGAAGACTTTCACCCAGAGGAAAAATAAAGCTCTTTCATAGGCAATGTCAAAACGTTCGCATAAGATGAACTTTTGTCACAATATCCCACAACTGTGATACAAATTTCCGGTTGCTGAGGCGTAAACACAAAAACGCTTGTGGGAATGTGATGCTTACTTGGGCGAAAGTTTCCATCAAGGTAGCTCCACCAGGAAGTAATTCAAAACAGATTGAGTAGCTCTCGAAACATTCGTAAAACAGAACGGAATATGTTCGATAGAGGTATGTTGCTTTACTCTTTGACTCATCGTCCACTATGCGCATCAATTACGTTTAGAGGCAGCTGTAGAAAACTTGCACCAGAAAAGGGTTGCATCTTGAGCTGGCTATCTGGTTCCTAAGATCGAGAGGCAATGAAAGAGATCACCGCTACGGAATTTGACCTCTTTTTACGACAATGTAAAGTGGAGATTTTATCATAAAACCAGCAAGACCATGTGCATTGCTCCATAATTTATGATAACTTTGAAGTATCTATTGTTTGCCTACGCTCCTTAAGGACGATAACTGGTTTCATTAAATGGCTAGCAGCTGTCGAACAAATCTGAACAGGCTTGATGAAAGTCGTGTAATCGATTTTGGGACGCCAATCTAACCAACCAAAACACCACACTTAGGGGCGCACGCGGGGACACTAACCGTTAGAATGGGAAAATAGACCGGTACAACTAACCAACCAAGGTTGAACAGGTCAGACCACAACGCAATGCCAACCAAGGCTAGAGAACAAACTACTAAGAATAGAAGTCGTTGGGATAACCAATCAAAACAAAGGAACACAGACCACAACGTAGCGAAGATAACAAAAGGACCGATAGATTCACGAAAATCGTCACCTCGAAGTAGAAAATCACGTTAGAAGATAACGGATAGTCCTCAAATGCTATATAAGTGAACGTATGCAGAGAAGTAGTACCGACCCACTAATGGTGACGAAACGTTTGCAAGCCAATTACCAATATGGAAGAACGGATCAACGGCCACCTGATCAACACCCGAGCTATCAATATTTCAACACACTTTAGGACGTTGTTTGGTGAATTTCATCCGAAAACTTTCTGAATATCCATGAAGTGGAGATTTGAAGAGTGCCTCCTGGCTGTTAGCCTCCAATACACAATTTCTCGTTTGAAGTTTCATGATGTTTGCTATGTCACCACGATGGATTATGGGCTAAGATGTTGAATTCACATCATATTGTGTTCTTCCTTCCAGTCAGTCCCCGTTTGGAATAGGCATCACTCTCACTAATGGTACCAGATTGTCCCTTGAATTTTCTAATCAACAACCTAATATTTCTGCCAAAAATGTTTCATTTTTTTGATTCCCCCACCTCCAAAAACGAACCGTCGTTTCTCAGAATTCAAGGAATCCAAACACCTTTCGACATGATAGTTGAATGCCTTTCAGCAATGATGTGCCGGAAATTTGAATAGTTGGGTTCACAATCCAAATGTCGCTCCATCAACTTGCATAAGGATTTACTCCTATGATAGTTTAGTCCCATGGTTGACTTGTGATAAGTAAAACCATTGTATCTACCATGGAGGGTGTATTCAACTGAGGTCGGTCTGGATTTTTTACCAATGATCAAGACAGCTCACAGTAGTGTGAAATCCAAGTTGTTTGGTTGGCGTGGATTTTCGTACGAACACATCATTAGAGAGAGAAAGGACTTTCTGGTCATTCCTGAAAAGCACGTCAAGGATCACCGGGAAGTTAGCGCAAAAACTGAAATGTAGTAGAAAATTAATGAACCTACTGATTTGGAGAAATACACCCATTTGAAAATCAATTTGGTTTTCATGAGAGACTCAACTGAATCTCTCGTTTATGATATTCTACAACTAAATGTGCTGCACACAGGCCGCCTAATTTGTTTCAGCTGGCACGATATTCGAGATATCGCAAAAGGAAACTACTCACAACGTTGCTGAAAACTCTTCGACAACCCAAGACCGGTTTCGCTCTTCTTGGGGCTCATCAGGTAGGCGCAGTCCCCGAGTTTCCGTCAACCTCATGTTCTACTCGAACTCAAATCGGACCATTTTCAAGAACTACACTCATATGCAAATCAGTTTGATTTTCACGATAGACTCAACTGAATATCATATACAATAGAGTTTAACAACGATAGAAATAATCGCTCATCTCTGACACCCCTTCGGTGCCTAACTGCCATGCCACTCCAAGCAAGCATGAGGGCTGACATACTGCCAAGTTGCTCAAGCCTTGGCCTGAGTGGTACATATTCAGAGGTTAGTTTTGAACCACGGATTTTCCGGTCAGTAAGTTTGCCCCTTGACTGCTGAAGTACCTCATGTTGTACAAGGCACCGAGGAGGAACCCTCCATGTGTTGAATGCCGACCCATGTGAACAGCACATTCGGTTGTAGAGTATCATAAACGAGAATTCAGTTGATCAGTTGAGTCTCTCGTGAAAATCAAATTGATCTGCAAATGAGTGTATTTCGTGGAAACAGTCCAATTTGGGTCCGACTAGATCATAAGGTTGACGGGAACTCGGGGGGAGTGCACCCACCTGATGAGCCTCAAAATGGCAAAACTGGTCGTGGGCTGTCGAAGAGTTTTCAGCAATTTTGTGAGTAGTTTCCTTTATGAAAACCTACTGAGTTCCTTAGATGCTGTTTTCCAGAGACCTTTCAGTGGAATATGAGCGACTCATTTTGCACACCTCCACAGTAAACATGCAACCGCGAAAAGAAGGTTCTCCCGTCCCCGGATTTCAGTTAGTTTCACCATCTACCAAAGTGTGTCCTCGATAAGTCTTACGTCTGAGGCTTGCAAATTCACCTTCTACTCTGTCATTGAACAGACCTTTCAATCGGGGAGGATGTTGATCGATTGTTCCGACGGCCGAAAGTCTGTAGCGTAAACTATTTGAGCAA